GTGGCTCGTCTTCGCCGTCTTCGTTCACTGGCACAGAACTGGCGCACTGTTCACTGGCAAAAAAAACCAGGTGGCAATATGGTTAATTTTTACGCCTCACTGTAAGTGAAAAGTTGCGAGAAAACACCCTTATGAGTTCTAAATTACCAGCTGTATTTCAAGGAACACCGAAATTTTCGACATTGTCTGTCACTGCCTGATTGTATTTATCCCAGTTATGCTAATAATGATATTTTAATGGTTAAAATTAGTCGTAACGATCCTTTTTCAAATGTTTCTGACAGTTACTTTCAAACTGAATATTCAGGAAGCAACTGCTCCTAAAACTGCCGTCTTATTATTTCAATAATATACAATCCATATTCGATCCCTTAAAATTATGCTACTTCATTCGTAAATGATGTGCGTCTAAAATTTCCTATTTACAAAGCCCTACAGGTAAAGGTCATCGACAGAAAAAACATCTGTCTGGAGCACTGGTGCGTGAACAGCTGTTTGAGATGTGAGCTCTTACAATACCGAGAGTTGACGCTGATTAATTTGTGCCCACATTGTTACGTTGCGCGCTCTATGAGACAGCGGAGGATTTTGTTTGTATCAACAGGGAACTATGCAAAGCAGTTTGCCTCAGCATCAAAGAAAAGGACACCCCCCTTATAATGGCGTGAGCACAGTGGGTAGTCTCCTTTACCTGTCAGGTGGGGTGTACGTTCCACTCAATTTAGTCCTTTGAGAACAAGCTGACCATTTTTTTTAAATACAGAACATTCATTATTCGCACGATGTCACGGATCCGGAGTCGGCGGTGCCGTCGACAATACCGCTCTCGATGTTCACGTATCGTGCCAGCCTAGGAAGACAGCCGCAAAACTGGCGCCCCCCTCCCCCACAACCGTTAACTGGCAACCCCGTAAATGTAGGCACTCAATTGCGCATACGGAATGGAATCAAGTCGTCGTTACTTGCCTTTCGCTAGACTTGACGCTTTGCTTGACTCGAGAAGGCGCGATGACAACAAAAGTACCTTCAAGCAGTAGTTGGGCACAACCCAAAATCAGCGTTTCATCCCTCGTTGAAGGCAACGCTTTTCCTTATCAGTAAATAGGAATAATAAAGTAAATAGGAATAATAAAGGCGAAATCACAATTAGGCATTCCCTGATCTCGCGCAACATTCACGTGATACCCCCAACAATCAGTGACGCAATTACTCGAGTCCCCCTCCCAATCTATTGGCAAGTTGCAGGAGGGACTTTTTTTTTTTTCAAACGGCTTGAGTCCCCGTGGCCTGTTGCACACATCTATATATATATTAGGAGAACGTTACTGGGCTCTTTTTTATCATGTCATTAAGTAAACGTGATCACTTAGATGCTTGTATTGCTTAACTCGCGGCATTCATTTTTAAACTAGGCCAACAAAAAGGAGCAAGAACACAAATGCCCGTGTGCTAAGCCCTGTATTCTCTAGACTGATTTTTATTGCACAGATGAAAGTAACTTGCTGTGCCACCAAATATGATTTCTTTTCAACTAATGCCTTTGTTTCTTCTGCCAACAAATTGTGCACACGATGCTTTCTCAGCAGCCAGGAGATAGGAACATGTCGATAAGAGCAGAGTATTTATAACAATGTGAATAGGCGTTGAAAATGACTTTAATCATTTACACTGATTCCTATTTCACTGATACATATTAAGTGAAAAAGCAGCACATCAGTAAAAAATATTATTATTAAACACGGTGCCTAGATTAGCCAGCATGCCTGACATGCCTCGAACGATATTACTAGCGCGCAGTGCTACTTCGTATGATTGATTGATTTGGGGGGTTTAACGTCGCAAAAACCACCATATTATTATGAGAGACGCCGTAGTGGAGGGCTCCGGAAATTTCGGACACCTGGGGTTCTTTAACGTGCACCCAAATCTGAATACACGGGCCTACAACATTTCCGCCTCCATTGGAAATGCAGCCGCCACAGCCGGGATTTGATCCCGCGACCTGCGGGTCAGCAGCCGAGTACCTTAGCCACTAGACCACCGTGGCGGGGCTACTTCGTATGCAGGCTGCTGCATGATAATGCACGTGACGCAATTTTTTGAAGAATGACATGAAGTAGATTCTTCATTATTGCACACGCTTGGAAAAAGCGATTAGCACTCGTAAGTGCAACACGCGAAAAATAGTGCTAGCCAAGTTTCTCGAGCACATCAAGGCTGCATGCGCTGTACATCGTCTGCTCAACGCCCCGCAGTCCTGCTTACAGCGCCCCATGCGGCATCGGTGCATTTCGGAGACCCCTTTCCCCGGGTGTTTTTCACACCTCCAAAATCTAGACACCCTACCTTGAGCTACAAGTAGTTGCCGTCGCGCGATTTGAGGTGGAGCTACTGTATGGGGCGCCAGGTATTCGCATGGCGCTCATTCCGAAATTCGAGCACGATGGAACATTTTCCCGAAAGCTTTGCGTGCATGACACTTTGTCATTTAATCATAAAATATCCGATGGTTGAGAGCCTACACAGTGCATTTATTTATATGATTCGCACTTCTAGGCTCAGTTCACATACGCCTCGACGCTGCATGTGACTCCCAGTGTTCGTCAGCGGCCTCGTCAGTGGCGATGCTTCAAAATGGGTAAGTATTGCTTTGTCCAAAAATGCAAGTCGAGGTATCGTTCTTGTATTGAGCGTGTGTCGCTTTTCAAGGCTCCGTGTGAACTAGAGTACTTGGATAAGTGTCGACGGGCAATTCCGAGAGCTGACGGAGCCTTGCAACCTGCTGACCATGTGCGCGTGAAGCATTTCTCGGAAGAAGTGATTTCTGCCACATACTATTTAGAATACAAGGAAAACGTGCTGTTGCTCCTGCCAAAGAAACCTACACTCATTGATAATGTTGTGCCTGCTATTTTACCGGGGCTGCCCAAATTACCTGAATTTCCAGCAACAAAAACTAAAAAAACGGGAAAACTCTGCGAAAACGGCTGGCTCTACTGCAGAGTTTTTGGAAGCGACGGAAGTCATAAGGTTCAACTGCATCTGAAGGTCCTGACATGACCACTGAAAGTACGCCAAATTTATTGATGGTAGACAAAGTGACTCCAATACATGGCGATAATGAATCAGCACACACTCATGCAAAAGGCAGCGCTCCGACGAGACAGATGAGGAGCTCGACATCTGAGTCCAAACGTGGGAGCAGCCCGCGACACAGTGATCTGTGTTTTGGAGGACCCAATAAAAGATTAACCAATCCAATCAGCAGTGACGGGCCTCCTCCACGTGAAGAAGAGAATGCTTCTCAACACGAAACTGACAGTGTGGGTTTATGCCCTACCAACTCAGCTCCTCATCATGCCATAGAAGTAATTTCTTGTTTTCAATTTTGTTGCCAGTTTTTAGATCGGCCTCATCTATCTGCTTACTCGGACCAACAAACATTATATGTTGTAGGATAACCAGTGAACAGAAATCATTGAACTTACTATTACTGTGATAATATCGTCGAGATTATAGCTACTTTGCCATGCTTGATGTCGTCAAGCTAGATTGTCTCATTTTTTGAATGTCTCTACCAATTTATCGCCACCGTCGTGCGACATTGCAGGCGCACTTCCGAACATGGTACTTACGACAGAATACTGCTATTAAGGCGATGGCTTTAGATGGCCTTAGATGCAACATTAAAAGCGAAATATTATTTTTGGCAGCCCTAGGGGTGAGCTGTGCAAATTTACTGCTTTAGGTAGTGTGATTTCTTTAATTGTAAGATAAGCACATCATCAAGTTAAGGCCGAACGGTTTAACGAAATAGCGAAAAGTTAAGCGGAAGACGCTGACCCGCCGGTCCCGACATTTGTGGGGTACGGGTTAACCCAGGTTCGACCTTCGGGACCAAATGAAGTTCTTCGCACCATACCAAGCTGCTTACACTGCCAGAGGCCAAAATCTGCGTGACACTAAAGGCTCATTCACACCGAAGACGGCGCGGCCAAGCGGCCAGGCGGGATTTTGGAAGTGGTTAGGGGACGAGTCCGTAAACCTGTTCAGACGGCATGCCTCTTTCGGGTGGCCGCCCGGCAGAAAAGGCGGACATCTCGCGATTTTCTGCGCGTGTCGCTATGACGTGTCAGTGCGTTTCCCAAACATACACCCGCACCAGCACCGTCCGTCGGATGCGTGGCGTTCTGATTAGCTGCGCAAAGCGGCGAACCTCGGCAAGCGGCAAAAAATTGCTCCGAGAACGAGCTCCCTTGCCGCCTGGTTTTTGCCGAGTATTTTTGTTAATATTGATCACTGGTGGAAAAACCTCTGAGGAGGAACGTATAATAGAACGAGACAGCGCCTATTTGTTTTAAATGATGTATTATCAAAATGCAAGCACGACCAGCAGTCTTTCAAGGAAGTATTGATTACTTATGATGGTTCTTATATTTAAAAACTTATGGTTGTCAAGCGATAATGTGGATAATAAATTTTGGTATGTTAATTCAGCAATACAGCGTGCATGGAACACGAGAATCAATATGGCTACCATGCTAACCTCATAAGCACATACTCGTTTCATATTTTTATAACAAGTCTACTTTATATTTTCTATACTGTATATTTATTATTTCTGTTTTATTGTTATTTGTTTTAATTTTAAACATTACAATATAGCCTGTTAGCACAGCTAAGCGGTTATTAAAATGTTTAGGCAACCCCCTCCTCTCTTTTTTTTCTACATCCCGATGCTGCGCTATTCGTGGCTGATCTCCTTAGTGGGTTGAACTAATCCTTTTGCGTCCAACCAGCCAACCAACCAACCACGTGCATTGAACACGAGAGGCGCGTGCATTAGACCCGATAGACACGCAAAAACAGCTGCCATTAAACGCACCGATCACGCAGCGGACCAGCGCACGATGTCGGCCATTTCCATAGCGGAGAGCGCAATGCGACTTCTGTAGGATCGACAAGGTGCGTCGTTTGTCAAAGCCACCGAAGCGTCGACAATGGCACCATCACAGAACAGCAAGAGGCGCTCTAGCGACACCGCAAAGTCGGCCCCGAAATGCCACTATGCTGGCAACAACCCGCCGTCGCCCGGGGCGCGCGTGAACGTGGCCGTGAGGGTGCGCCCGCTGAACGAGCGCGAGTCAGAGACGTCCAGCATCGTCTGCGTGGGTGACGACAGGTGCCTCGTGTTAAACCCCAAAGCCGAAGCCGAGTCCGTCAACTTTCGAGGGCAGCAAGCATGCGCGGGTTTCGTCAAGCCACACAAGGACTATACTTTGTGTTTGAAAAGGTCTTTAGTGAAGATAAGTACACTAAGGACGTCTTTGAGCGCACCACCAAAGAGATGCTCACGGCGCTTCTTGACGGCTACAATTCTTCCGTTTTCGTGTACGGTGCAACCGGAACTGGCAAGATGTTCACCAAGCTGGGATCCGAGGATTGTCTCGGGGTAGTCTCCCTGACGGCAAGTGAGCTCTACCGGCGCGTGGATAGGCTCCGCTCCAAGGGCCAGTCATGCGACGTTGCAGTCGCCTACATGGAAGTCTACAACGAGGTCGTACGCGACCTGCTGTGCCCCAAAGGACCTTCGTTGGTCGTGCGCGACGACCCAGCTAAGGGCATTGCCATCTCCAACCTTTCTATTCACAAGGTGAAGGAGTCTGGGGCACTGTTCGAATTCCTCCAGAAAGGCAACAGGAACAGGACACAGCATGCCACCCATGCCCACTCTGAGTCGTCGCGGTCTCATACAATATTTCAGATTTACATCACGCAGACTGAGAACGTGACCAGCACGAGCAAGGGGATTCGCGTCTCCAAGTTGAGCTTTGTCGACCTAGATGGCTCGGAGCGTGTCGCTGCCGGGAACAAAGACATCAAGGACCAGATACGCGAAGGCACCAAAGTTCACCTGTCGCTTCTGACCCTGGGCAACTGCTTTGATGCCCTCTCCAAGGGTGGGGCTCAGTGGGTTCCGTACCGGGACTCTAAGCTGACCCACATCCTGAAAGACTCTCTGGGTGGCACTTGTCGCACCCTCTTGATGGCTTTCGTGTCGCCATCCAAGCTCAGCTACACCGACACCCACAACACTCTCAAGTATGCTGAGCGCGCCATGAAGATCGAACTGCAGGCCCAGAAAAAGGTCCACAACGTCAATGCACACACGCCTATGTACAGCTCCCTCGTATAGGAGTACAAGCGAAAGGTGGAAGGCCTTCAGCGCAAGCTCGACAAGGCAGAAAACGAGAAGTCCAAGCTCGAGATCCAGGTGGTCGAGCTCAAAGAGAGTCTCGCGACGGCCAAGGATGCCCTGCTTCGAGATCAACATACTGCCGCCGGCAGCATCGTTCCAGCTTCGCATAACGATGCCCTGTCGACGACGTCCTTCCCCTCACCGAGCATCGAGGCGAACGAGCGCAGCGACGACAGCAGGATGGCCTACTTCCTCGACGCGGCCAGAAAGATCTATGCAGCACGAGCGAAGATCATTAGACAGATCTGGGAAAACGAAAACATCATTCTCGCCAGCGTGGTGAAGGATAACTGGAAGCAGCAGATGGCGAAGAATGTCAACTTACTCTAGGGCTGCAGTGAAGACACTTTGAAGGAGTCTGAGCCTCTTCGTCAGTTTTTTGAAGTCTCAAGCAGCCAAACGTCTTGCTGCAAAAGAAAAGTTAGAGGCTCTTCACAACGAACGAATGCGAAACTTCGAGTGCAGCACAGACCTCCTGAATGAGGCTTCCACTGCCGGTTGCTTGGAGGCTTTGGTAGCAGAGATAGCCAAACTGGAGCTGGTAGTCGAGCGATTGGAAATGCAGGGTCAGTGACAGATGTTCGCCGAGATCACCAAACTTCTGTGTCAGAATTGCAGCCACTGGGAGGACCTGAACAGCGTTGCAGTTCCTCACCTGCGCAACCTCTACGTCATTCTGGAGGCCAAGAACAGCTGCTGCTCGGACCAACGAGATACCCACAAAGCCGTTGTCAAAAAGGCTAAGGGTCCCGGTGTGACATGGGCGGATAAAGAGAACAACGGGTCAAACGGTCAACTGGATATCACAAGTCTGCTCCACGCTCCCGATTGGCGGCAGGCCACCACAGTGCAACTGAAGTCTGTAGCTCTGCAATCCATTAAACTCGACGACTCTTGACTTGTATTGTCGTCTAGAATATCTTGGCTCATACTCACAAGGGGTATTGGCCACACTGTACGCTATAGCGCAAATTTTTTTGCACAATTAACGCTTGATAAAAACTAAGAACTTAGATAAGGTCATTATAACGTTCCTTTAAAAATATAAAAAGAGGAGATATGTTCTAAGGAATCAGATAAACCAGAATATGCAAAACAAATTAGCAAAAATGGAGAACGGGGACAAAAAATGGGATATATCTGACGGTACCTCTGGCAGCGTATCCTCCCGGTTGCCTGAATGTATTTACGTAGTGCTTACAGAATATCACTGCGGCCTGAACACTACTGACTTGACTCCAAATGATAAAAGGGTGGGTGTTGTAACTGCCGATCGCAGCATACCAATCGGTATGCTGTTTCGGCCGTTTCGGTTGCTTCACTTATACAAAATGTCGTATTACGTGACGCGACCGGACGACATAGGTAAACGACACATCCCAACATAATAATCACGACATGCTTGTCATATAACGACCTGACTACATGCCACCCTGATGATGCGCTCACGGACGTTTCGCTAGCTTCACATATGCCAAATTTGACGCTAACGTGACGCTAATGGATGACGAAGGTATGTGGCTAGTGCAAACATGATAATCATAAGTTGCGTGTCATTTGACATGACTACATGCCACAGTCAAGGCACCAATACATTTTGACGTGACGCGGTGCGCGTGTTCGCCGGCGTTCATTTCGTCGCGTCATGCCGGCGTTGCCACGCCAGGCGCCGGCCCTGCCATATACTCGCCGGCGCGCGCCGCATGCACTGCGTTGCTTTGACGCATGCGCGTTTCAGCGCATCCGGCGTCTCTCCGTCACGAAAAGATGGAGACGCAGCGTTGTCTGGGTAACGCATCGGCGCGAAATGCAGCATGTCGTTTTTCGTGCCGGTTGCCGTCGGGCCACGCCGACGGACGCTGGTCGTGCCGGGTGCGCCTGGCGTCAATCTGTTGAGTGCTCGCGTTTTGCTAACGTAGCGTCGCTGTGCCCAGCGTGCGCGAGCGTCAATGCTACATTGAAGTATAATGGGCCCTTCATGATGCGCTCACGGCCGATTTGGCAGCTCCACATATACGAAATTTGGTGTTACGTAATGTCAATGAATGACGAAATATATGACTGGTGCAAACATGATAATCCTGACACACGTGTCATGTAAGAACATGACAACATACGACACTCATAGCACGTTCGCGGCCGTTTGGATGGCTCCATATATACAAAGTTGGGTATCACGTGACGTGACTAGATGACGAAGGTAAACGCCACATCCAAACATATAATCATAACACGGAAGTCATGTACGGCAACATGTACCTCTACCTCGTAACGTTGTGCTCATTTTAAAGATACATATCAACATTTCTCATTCGTGCTTCGGATATCATTGATTTCCACTGTACGTGGGATCTGTCATTTTTTTTTTTTTTTTTGAAGCTGCTTGTCAGTGCGCGGGATCGCTCTCTGCCACTTGGCTAACAGAGCTTCGTCGTTTGGAACGCTGAACATTGTATGCTTCTTTTTAGCTGACTTGTAGCCTGTAGTGAACCCCGGGACGAAGCAGTGGCTTTGTTTTCGCACCATAAGAGTGCATACAGAAGCATTAGAGTGAGAGTGCCACCACAATTAAAAAAAAACGAGGACGAACGCGCCCAACGAAACTGTCGGAAACGTGCCAACAACGTGGGTGGATGGATTGATATGGCTGTATCCTTTAGATCGGGCGGTGGCTAGTGCCACCAAGCCGTAATACTTAGTAAACCAAAAACTAGATTTATTTTTTTCTACTTAAAATAGTGAGGTTCAGGACTCGTACTTTGCAGAGAAGCGTTTAATTTTCACTCGTGCCTTGACTTTAGCCACCGATCAGATATCCTCTTCTTAGTTAATTCTACCCGCTTAAATTCTATTCTGCCCTCCCTGTCCCCAAACCCCAGCGTTTTGAAAAACTCTGCGGCATCATCCTGAACTATAGGGTGAAGCCCTTTACAGATCATTAACGTATAAATGACTGCGCGTGCCCCCACGCAGCTCCTCCTCGGAGGCTTCAGTGCGCTCCGTAGGCACCGCCTGCCGCTCATCACACTTTCCTATTCTAATCACTGTACTTTGAGCTACGTAGTTAGAGGTGTGCGCTGAGGCGGCTTCGACCGGTGGCGGCGTGGGGCTTACTTTGAGTCGGCGGTGGCGGCGGCGGCGGCGGCGGCACGCGACCTTTTTTCGTCTGTGGCGGCAGCGCCGGCGACGTGGAAAGCGAAACGACAAGTTCAAAAAGCTCTTTGTGCATCTTTTTTTTTTTGCTTAATTGGCTGAAATTCAGAGCTTTTAGCACTAACTGCAGAATACGACATGTGAGATTACTAGAACAGAATTGGCAAACGTTTTGTGAATGCTTTGTTTTTCAGCGTGCATACTAAACTCGAGGGGAAAAATGGGCGGGAAGGGGGGCACTTATCCTAAGTTGTGTACAGTACATTATTATTTTTTGGGGACGTTTTTGCCACCTCATTAGCGTTCGTCAAATAGCAATTACCTTAGCTGGAATCGAACACGCATCAGAACACCGTTTCACTAAGGCACGTATGTTGAATGTATGTTTATTGCTTCCACAAATGTGCAGCATTCTTTTTTTAGGGGCGAAACTCCTTAGGTAGTGGGTCTGTGCATCCTCTGATGGTGTATGTAGCCACCGGTGGCTCATACTCGAAAGAGCGGCCCTTAACATATATGGTGGATGGTGGCACTTCTACTTGATGAGTACATGATGAAAAGATGTGAGATGGCTGTACTTGGAGTGCTCACTAGTTAGACGGATGGACGTACAGATAGACGGACGGACTGATGGACGCACAGACAGACAAGGGGGCGGACGCACGGACGGGCGGACAGACAGAGATGGCTGCACGAACAGACAGACGGAAGAATGGACGTACAGACGGATGCATGGAGGGACGCATAGACGGACGGATGCACCGACGGTCACACTGATGGACAGACGCATGGACGTGTTTTTTCTTTGAATTTTATATACTTAGGTCAGTTCCCTATCGCATATCGTGGCATTTGGTACATGCTTTCATCAGTTCCCTCTAGCATTCATTTCATTGCTGGGTATTGTTAAAAACTGGCGAGCAACCGCACTCACTGCATTTGAGCCGGCGAGCCTCCTCTCGATGATGTGAAGGACATCTCAGGTTTTTAGAACGTCCCGCCTGGCCTATGCTTACTCTACCATAAAACAAGGAATGGCTAAAACCCCTGTCCTTTTCTTCTTCCTCATACAACGAAGAAACGGTATACGATACATATGACATCTAACAAAATAATGAGTCCTTAAATGTACACTTCTTTCTTCACGTTTGCGAGTAATTCGGTTAATCTATTACATGACAGGTTGTACCTGCTCCTTGATTACCGGATTCAATGATCTCACAAAATCGCGAAAGCATTGCATGGCGCCGAGAATTCGGCAACTTTTTTTAACGCTATGAGAAGTCGTGTGCTACCGCTCGCCTACTGTACCCTTTCAGCGTACCTGAAGTTCCATTTGTTTTTTTTTTAACTTCCTTTTCGCTTCAACTCAACCTTGCGGCCTTACAACGGGTGACTCATAGAATGCAGCTTTTCAACGAAGGCTGTCCAAGGGCCGCCTAATTCCCTCCGCGATTGTAGGTATGCGTGACCCCCTAAAAATGCACGTTCTTTTTACTAAGAGTCCTTCCAAACAAACAAAAAAGTGGGTGATGAGGGGGGGGGGGGGACAGGGGTTACAAAGCAGTAATTTACACTGCCAGTGTCAGAAGAAATTTTCCAGCTTTTTTTTTCTTAAAGTTGAGTAGCTGTGGAATCACACACATGTACTTGTCCACGGAACACGTTGTTGGGTTGGTGTGGCACCGAGTCACGGAGAAAGCGGTGACCCCTTTCCTCTTCCTCGTAATACAAGGAACGGGTCGCTGAAGGGCTGTGGGCCTGCTGATGGCCGTCCAAATATGTGCTCCAGACACGGGAAGTGGGGCGCTATGCAGCCCGACGAGGCAAGGAGTTCGACGAAAACTACCGCAATGGTTCCCGGCTTCCCGGCCACACCGCCCTGCTCAAGCAGAGCGGTGTCACGGCGGATGACAACCAGGCTCGATAATTGAACTTAGAAGTGTGGCAGCTTGGGCTAGTTGGTATGGCATGAAGATAGTTATAGCGCGAGAACAAATCGACGACACAGAGACAAGAAGCGTCTTTCGTGTCCTCCTTGTCTCTGTGTCGTCGTTTTGTTCTCGCGCTATAGCTATCGTCGATAATTGAGCGTGGCGAGTGGTGCTCCTTTTTTTTTTTTTTTGCTCCATTGCACGAGCGTGAGCCATTTGCCCCAGACCTTGTCACATCACGAA